CCTGAGCTTGTAAGCCGACCCCTGTCATTATGTCCACTGATAGACACGGCGCCGAACTGGCGGCAGCAGGAAAACTGGAACTTGAAACCTAGCATGGGGGGTCTTCAAAGCCAGAACTCGATATTCGTAATCCTGGCGCGGTTGCCGGCACAGCCGTGAGTGGTGAGGCTCTCGGTTATGGCCGCTTATGGCGGGATTGCGGGCCGGGATGCCCCGGCCACTGCGGAGGGACGGGGCCCGGAGGAGGTGATCATCGCTCGGCGGCGTGATCCCCACGGCCCATGAATGCCTTATCTGATCTCGGTCTTAGCTCAGAGCATGCTGTGCAGGCCTTGCTCGGCCTTTAGTTTGTCATTTTGCATGTCAATGTACGAGTCTGAGTGCGCAAAATGCAGCTTGCGGAATGGAAACAGAACTAATTTCCGGCCGGGGTAGCTTCGGCGTTGGATCTTCTCGAGAAGCGTGCTGAAGGAGTGAAGATGGAAAATCCTCGGGCAGCTAAATGCCAATCGGGTATCGAAGTTGAGGCTGATGAGTGCTCATCATGTCTGTCCCATCAACCGAGCACGAAGCCGTGATGCATCCGGTCTTGTCTGTTGAAAATGATGCCACCAGCTCCATCAGGGTGGTGGAGATGAATGACGCGGATAACGACTGCATGAGTGCCGCAATGTTTCAATCCGCATGGTTCCAGGGCCCGAATCAGAAGCAGCGGTGGCACACTGGGCAGTTGCAAGCGAACGGGATCGACCACTGGCAGTCGACGTCGTTGAATTATTTCCGAATTCGGGAACCATCGTACACTGTTTTCTGCTTTGGCGTTGAGGATGTTGCTTTCGGACGTGTCAGGTACGACCATGAATGGTAAATGCAACGCAACCCTGCGCAAGGACAAATCGGAGAAAATGCTGCGCCAAGCTTCGAGAACGTGATGTTGAATCGTTACCAAATGGTGGGCGACGCGGGGGTTCTGGCCCAAGTTTCGGATGTGCCTCCTTCTTTCCGATTCTTGGCCAACTCCACATTAGAGTCATACCTTCCGGGGTTGTGTTCGATTCTTACTACCTATTCCAACCTCCGAAGAAGCGACCCAAGACTACCTATGAACTTGGGTCCCATTCTTAGGCGAATGCTTCCGACGTCTGATTGCGTTATTCCAATGTCGACTTGAATACGCCATCAGTGAGGACTGGAGCAACGCTTGGCTTATGTGGTCCGAGGAACTGGACGTGATAACTCGACCGAACGTTGCCCTCCAGTTAACAAGGGCAGAGATCCAACCCACATTTCCTCAACCCCCTCTCACACTAGCCATTAACTTAACCCAGGGACAGCAGACCATTTGCCATCACCGACCGCATCCATCGCTTGGGCATCGTCTCACGGGTACTATGTAGCCCTCTTTGAACTTGACGGTTATATCTTGAAGACAAGCCGAGGCAAGCTTCCAGAGACGAGTCAAGCATCAAACCGGCGTCGGTGGCCGGCGCCTGTGCACTCCGAGGAGAATGCTCACCGGGGCAATGGATCACGCAAGCACGGTATACACTGTGGCACCAAATTTGTGTTGCCGGATGTAAATGGCCAAGCTAAATTATATGGACGCGTCAATGTAATGTCACAACACGGCCAGATTTCAGGGTACTTGAACGCGGTACTTGATCAATGTCAAGATCTTTGTTCTCACCTTGGCCGTTCAACCACCCAACAATCGTTAACGTTCTACTTGGCGAAAAAACAAAGGCAGGCGGCGGCGGGTTTTTACAACGCAGATTTGAGGTAAAATAAAGCTTCGTCAGGCAAGAAAAAAATGAAGGAATGAAGCTGAAGAAGCAAAAACATACAGCACCAGGGATTCGCTGGTCGTCACCGACCCAACTACTAGTCTAGCGATTGGTGGCTTATCTATGGGAGAGCGGACGGGATCCCGAGCTTTCCACCATCTATGGCCGTATGTATCAGAATGGGTGATCATAGCAGTACATACCCTCGGATTCTGCATTCGATCCTCAGCATTCTAGACATCGTTAAAGTTAAGATTGTAGCCCAAAATTTCGGGTGTTGACATGGGAGATATCCATCATTGCACAGCTTTTGAGTGGAGCTTCAGGCTTGCAAAGGATTTCTCTGCCAGTGAGGTTGCTTCGCAGCTCGTCTCGTTCTGCCCAGATCCAACAGCTAGCTGGTCTGGCTGACCAGCCTGCCAGCATCAACGAGAGCTTGAACTCACAAAGAAGCTCACATACAGGCTCTGGAGCCATCCGAGCACTAAGGGACTGCTTCAATTAGACCACCCACATCATATTCCACTTCCCAATCTTTGACCTCTCTACTTGCAACACCCCCCATTGTCGCATCCACTACACCAAGCTCTTGCGCCCCACTCTCCTCAATCCAGCCAATCATATCCCCCGCTCAATTTCAATCCTCAAGTCTTTGACCACCGCCTTCGAAGTCACCCAACTCCATCGCCACCACCCGGTGCTCCCCGGTCGTGACAACACACTCCATCACGCCGCCGAGCAATCACCGCCAGTTACTTACAATTAGGCCAAAATGAACCGCCAGGCTACTGCCCTCGGGCGGCGCGCCTTCCTCTCCTCGCGCACCTGGGTCTCACAACCGACACCCACCTCCTTCTCCACCACGTCGACCTTCCAAGCCGAGAGCTCTCCCAGCGACAATAGCAACAGCAATGCCAATCGCAAGCCCACCGGCCGCGAACGCTCCCAAGCCGCGGCCTCCCAAATCAGCGTATTGCGCGGTGCCCGACCCGCTACTGCCCCGGTTGACGCCCGTGCTTTGGGTGGCGGTATTCGCCGAACGGCCATCGACCCGTCCAAGGTTTTCACGCTGAGGAGTATCCGCGGCGGAGCATTGCGCGGACGCGGTGGGCGGGGAGGGATGTTTGCGGGTAGAGGTGGGGCCGCAGGTGCTGGTGCAGGTACAGGCCTAGATCAAGGACATTTTGTGAAGATTGAGAATGGGCGGGTCTGGGGACCGGGACGGGGCGCTGCGCTGGCGGCGGGGCTCGGTAGGGGGAGGGGGATGAGAGGGAGAGGACGGGGACGGGGAAGGGGTAAGAAGGACGGGAAGGGGAGGAAGAAGAAGGAGCAGGAGGACGGGGTCCAGGGGAAGATGGTGTTGAGTGCCGAGGAGCAGGAGGTGATTAATCGGATGGAGCAGGGCGTGGTGACGGACTATGCGCCTAAGCTGACGAAGAAGGAGCTATTGGGATACGGGCCGGCGGTGGCGTCAGATTTCCCTGGGGGCAAGATTGAGTCGGCTATGGAAGCGATGCGGATGCTGGGTGGCGCGAGGGCGTTCAATAGCGATGCTGGGGTAACGGGGGATACGAGGGAGGTGGTCAAGCGGTATCACCATGAGAAGAAACCGGTGTTTTTCAACACGCCCGAGGAGAAGGCATGGATGGAGAGCTCCAAGCCGGGGTGGAAAATCCACGGGCCGCAGGATGCGACGAAACAGGCGATTGTGGACTCGGTGGTGAGCGGCAAGTACGAGAAGCTAGGCTTCGTGGACGCCACGGATACGATTCCCATGATTGTCAACTACCACAACCAGTCGACATCATACAAGACCTCGGATTCGGCCAAGTTCATCAAGAAGCTTCAGGAGCTGCTGCCGGTTGACACCACAGCCACGACCGTGCCGAAACAAAAGACCGCTTGAGGAGGACGCGGCGGAGTGTAGAGAAAGCAGAGACAAGGCGGACAGCAGGGTCGCTGATTGCGCCATGTAACAACACCGTTACCAACCTTTCCATGTTTTTGTTAGGCATACTTGTACAAGACGTATCTAGATTTTACACATAAATGAAATCCACACCCCCGAACGAAGTTGAGGCTCGTGAACACCCCCAGGGAAAAAAAATTACCCCTTCTTTGCAACACTAGCCAATACCTGCTTCTCTTTCGCCGCAATCACCTTCATCCTCTCATCTTGCAGCTTCTGCATCTTATCCTTCAACCTCAACGCGTCATCCGACGAAACGGTCTTATCCCCCTTCCACTTCTTATGTAGCTTCTCCCTCTTGTGCGTCTCATCCCGCAACCTCTCCCTCCACGCCTGACACGCCTCCTTCGCCTTCCTCGTCAGGTCCTCCACCCGCACCGGCTCTAACAGCAGCGTCAGCTCCAGCGGGTTCTCCTCGTTCCGCTGCGGCTGCTGGTTGAACGACTCGCTCCCCTGGATCGCCGACATGATTGGCTTTATACTGCTCTCATCGAATGCTAGGATGGTAAATCGCCGCGCCCCCGAGGCGGCGACGGCTGCTAGCTCACGGAGTGGAAAGGTCTGTGGGTTTTTGCGGTCGGGCTGGACGGGTATGGAGCTGATGGCGTCGACATTGAAGCTGCCGTCGGAGCGGATGCCGGAGAGAATATCGAGGTAGCGCTTTTCGTGCTTGTCGAAGGCGGCGGTGAGGTCGGAGAAGTCGAAGGGGTCGGTGGGGTTATTTTCGACGGCTTTGGGGGAGTATTCGGCTGAGGAGGAGGAGGAGGAGGAGGAGGAGGAGGAGGAGGAGGAGGAGGAGGAGGAGGAGGAGTTGCCGCCGCGCTTGTCCTTTTTGGAGGATTTGACCTCGTCTTTGGAGCTGCTGCGGTCTTTTTTGAGGAGGGATTGGGAGGTGGTGAAGGGGTGAGAGGGGGTGGGTGGGAGGCGGAGGGGTGTTTGGGCTGCGACTGCTGCGAGCCGGGCGGTGCTGGTCGGAGGTTAGCTCTTTGTGAGGTGGGAAGGGGGCAATTGGGAGGGACAAACCGTGGGATCGCACCGGAGGCGGCCGCATTGCAGCGCAGGAGCGCATTGGCGGTTCTGAGTGAGTTCATGGTGGGCGGTTGGAGGTGGTGGTTAGGTTGGCTGTGGCTGGAGCTCCACTGAGCTTCAGTGAGGAGCTTTACCAAGGGTGCTTGGGGAGGGGACGAGCTTGGCAGAGCATGGGCGATCAAGGGTAGTGATTCCAACCTTGACGTCCAATCAGAAAAGGTCGTGTGGTCTAGTGGTTATGACATCTGCTTTACAACTTGGCAACAGGAAACACTCGCAGAGGATCGCAGGTTCGATCCCTGCCACGATCAGTACTTTTTGAATTTTGCTCCTCATTTTTCTTTATGTGGACGAACACCGTGTTCGTGCCTTTGCCATCCTTATACTGATCTGGCGGCGCGCCGCCATACGCAAGTAAGGGTGGGTGCCTTGTGCTGCAGGGCAACGTATCTGTGGACGGTGATATCCCCCCTTTTCTTGTGTTTACCTTCGGCTACTAGCCGCTAATTTCACAAGGGCCCAAAGCCACCAAAGAGAAACCAGGTACCTAGTTCACATGAGGTATGTCGATCAAATCACATCGTAAATCTTCATGTAGCCATTTTCATCACACCTGTTGCCATTCGTGCCTCTAGAATTCCCAAATCTCAACACCCACACCGCCAACCATCAACCTCCCTGTCCCAATGACTTCAAGATCCCCTGCATCTGCCACCGAGCTATAACGGTTGTCGCTCATCCGTACGCTCACTCTTCTGCCTTTCTCATCTGCTCTGGCAACCTTCCAAACCTTTAATCGCTGGTCGTTGCTAACTGTCGCTACCTCTGTCACTTCCCCTTGTGCATTTGATTGAGGATGAGAGGGGAGGACGGCGAGGCCCGTGACAGCGGCTGCATGGGCAGATTTGACTCGGGATTTGTTTAAGATTGTGAGCGTTGATGTGGACGGTGTGAAGAGGATCTCGAGTATACCGAGGGCATTGTCGTCGCCGCCTGTTATCGCCAGGCAGCAGTATGTGTGGCATGGGTCTGATTGAGATGATGAATGGGACCAAGAGATATCCATGGACTTGATGGTACTTTGGTGGATCTTGGTTGCGACGGTGAGGGTGAAGGGGGTATAGTTCTCGGAATCAGCAGTCCGGTTCGATGACCAGATGGCAAGATGGCCGTCAGTTGAGGCAGTTAGGACAGATAGCTCGTGGGAATTCGTGTAGAGGTGGCGAATCTGGGTGAGGCAAGCGGTGGTGTAGTGGCCCGTTGACAGCAGCTGGAACCCCAGTGGCTTGGAGTATCGGTAGCTGCGAATAGTAGAGTTTGAGAGCGCCAGAGAGATTAGCATCACGTCAGCCCTGCCGTCCCAGCTCTGAACGTCGAGGTTCATGATTCGCAGGTCACCGTCTCCGGTGCGGTCGGGATAGACGGCTTCGCAGACCACAGCGAGAGCCTCGTAGTCGGATTTGACGCGCGTGATATGCCAGATGAAGAACTCCTCGTTAGCTGCACTGCTGAGGAGGTAATCTCCGTGCCACTTGAGGGCCTGGATTCCCGCTGAGTGCTTCTCCATGACGGCGAGACACTTGAAGCCTCTGGAGGTTTGGTTCTTGCTGTCTTTGTACTGCCATATCCTGATTGTGGTGTCCTCTGCGGCGGTTGCAATGTAGCCGCTGTCTGATGCAGCTACTGCTCTGATTTCCCTGCCGTGGATACCCTCTTTGAGTACCCGAAGGGTCGGATGTTTTTGCCCGTACATCCCCATTAGAGCCACCTTGGTGTAAACGAACATGAGTCTCCCTGGATCGGAGGCGGAAGGCTTGTAACTGTATGGGCGATTTGCACCGCCGCATTCAACGGCTGCCAGCTCCTGCCGTGCCGTTTCGTTCCAGACGACAAAGTAACTCCCTCGGAAGCCGTGAAGCACTAACTCCCAGGACCCATCGTGTCTTGTAAACTGAGCACCTTCGATCATACCCAGGGGCGGGGAGATCTCGTGCTGTAGATGCATTGTGGGTCGACCATCCCGACTGTCGATGGTGTAGATGCGGTACCTGCCATCCCTGCAAGTCGTCAAAAAGGCAGTCGAGCTGCCAGGCAGAGGCGTAACATTGGTGACGGCGTCCTTGTCCCGGCAGTCCTTCCTGTTTTCGATCTTCGTCCACGAGCCGTCGATGCGTTCATAAAGTGTTAGTGTCCCCACACGAGAGCCCAGTACGAGCAGGTCGCCGCAATAGGCCGCGGTGGTCATAATGTAGTTTTGATAATCGCCGTCAAACTTCACAGGTGTTGGGTCCCCTATGAGCTTTCCTGTTGAGATTTCGTATTCCAACATTGTTGTGTGGCTTTGCCCGACAGCAGTGAGGAAGAGAGTCTGTGTTTGGGGGTTTCCATTTTCCGAAGACGGCCGATCACTCTGTCCGGGGCAGATGATGTCAGTTATCTTTGATGAGAGCTGCGTAAGCTCTGTAAATGCTCGGGCTTCGTTGAGCAGATATATCCTTCCAGACATGGTCCCGAAAACCGCCGTCCCTGTGGTGGGACTCACAAGCATGTGGAAGGATGCTATATCGGCCCTGACAACCTCTGGCACGCTAAGTTCTTCCCACGCAGTAGGCGTCCCAATTGCGCCGATGAATATCCTCCCCGAGGCTGCGGTAGCCATTAATCTGCTCTCTGACAAGAAAACGTAGCGATAAAAGCCTTCTTTGACCTTTTTGGTCCCGGATGACGCGACTTTGCTCTCTGCCAAGGGGGGAACAAATCGCAAAAACTCGTCGAAAGTGAGGCGGCTGTTTATATCGCTGAATTCCGGTGTCTGGGAGCTCAAAATGGCAGCAGCTTTCTCACTGCTGGCATCCCCGCCTCCAGATGTGACGATCCTGCCATCAGCGCCGCCAGACATTACAAGTAGCGAGTTCTCTCTTCTCGAAACTGTCGTAGACCAGATATTCTTCCCGCTGTGACAGACCATCCCGCCGCAGTTTCTCAATTTCCCAGCTGGCTGGACCCAATATGAGCTTCCCGCCCCCGTACTGAGCTTGGCTGCCTCCTCCCATTTCGCAACATCCAGGCTCAACTCCCACTTCTGTCGCGACCCGTCCTCTCCAAACGAGAAGATCTCGATTGGAGCCCCCTGGCAATCCGTGCGTCCGGTAAACTTGACATGCCATATCCTCGAGACGTGACCCATCTCAACGGCCACGCACTTTGACGAATCATTCCTATTCTCTGACTTGGCCTCGGAATTCTCGCCAAACCCAGTCTCCCTTGCCTCCTGGGCTACTGATACCCTCACATGGTCGCCGTTAACGGGACTGACTACCGAAGAGGAACGATCGGTGATGTCCCAAACACGGACTGTTCTGTCATCACTACAGCTCGCAAGGAGGCGTATTTTGGTATCAGAGGTGATCTCAATCTCAGGAGATATGGATACGTCGAAGATGGAACCTTCGTGGCCAGTAAACACAAAGAGGACATCCCATTGTGAAGATCGGGTAGAGTCGAGGTAGTATTTCCATACGATAATCTCTCCAAATACAGTACCACCAGCGACAAGAATCGTGTCAAGGGATAGGAGGGTGAGGTTTGCAGAGTAGAGGATTGGTCTTGATGGGGAAGTAAGGGTCCCAAAGGAAAAGCTACCGTCTGAGCTGGCGAGAATTGGTACGATTTCGTTGTGCGCTGTGACGAGCGCTCCGCCAAGGTTTGGAGAGGAGAAGAGTATCCCGTCGTAGATCCAGTCCGGTGCCTTCAGTTCCTTTGGGCTTGGAGGGATGCATCCTTCGCTGAGAGCTTGCAGCGCCGCTTGAGGTGAGATGGCCACGGATTGACCGCCCCAAATGAGAATCCTTCCGTCTCGGCTGCTGTCCTGTGAGACGAATATTCCGTGGATGGACTGAGAGTGGAAAATCCTGAGCTGCCCGAGTAGTTGGTTGCTGTCGACATCGTACACCTTCAACCAGGCATCTTCGCCCGCCAGGGCAAAGACCCTACCGGAAGCATCAAGGTATGGCGTGAGTGCCGTTATGGGATTCAGTAAAAAGTTGTGCTGCAGCTTAGAGACGGAAGTATTTTGGAAAATGTCAGTGAGGTTCTCAACAACACCAAACAAGGAAAGAGCGACTTGAGGGGTGAGTCACAGGGGCCAAAAACCTTTTGGTCCATGGCTTCAAAATCGGCCATTTGGCACTGAAAGGTCGCGGATAAATTGTCATGAAAAAAAATCCGGGAACGGTCCTGAACAATTCACTTAACTCTCTGTCGAAGCGCTTTGTTGGAGTTAACCCTCAACTGAATTTGGGCGGCATGAATGACTCTAAAATTTTCGGTGCAGCTAAAACCCTAACCCACTCGGTCACAACACCACTATGATTACATACCTATCATATCATGAATCCAAATCGACGTTCCTGAGACTTCCGAAGCAAACAAACGCGAGTTCACGAGACGAAGAAAGCGGTTATTCGTGCCGGCATCTCGGTTGCCTTGGGGCTCATCTTCTCACTAGCTCCGTCACATCCATCTCACCACATCGCATCGCATCCTGCGACGTGCCACCTCGTTCTTCCCTTTCATACAAGGATCGGACATTTCAAGCTTACTCTGCCTGGTACTCGGGAATCAAGCCCCCGTCGCGTCAGGTCAGCTTTGCGTTTCCGCCGTCAGTCGAAAGACTAATTGCTGATTGTTCGTCATCAAATCACACCAAGGGGAGTACTGTGCGGCTGGCCGGCCAGGGTTAGCCTGACCTATTAGTGACTCCTTGCGAATGGTTTGTTGTGGGCCGGGGGTGAAGGCCGAGCCGGCCCTCCCTGTGATCCGGGGGCTGAGAACAGTGATCCTTCCCCATCACTCGTCCGGTCAGCATGAGGTCAGGAGGCAGCGCAAGTGCGGATCTCAGCCATTCGGTCCCGACGGGGTCGTCTAGACGAAAAAGACCCCATAACTAGTCACAAGCGATCATCCAAAGTAAATAAGAAATATTTACTAGTCATTCAGCGTTAGAAGGTAAAATACCCCGTTATCCAGCCTGCTCTAAATCATCCGTAACCCAAAGCTGGGTATCATCGTCGCTCAGCCACCTTTTGGCTCCAGCCCCCAATAGGGGACTTTTCCCCATTACCCGGAAACCCCACCAACGCCGTGTCAATGCATACTGTTGTGGTGACAATCAACCTGAAGCGGGTAAAAAAAGAACCTCCATAGATAGAAATCTGTGTCCGCTAATCATGGCACTCCATTTTTCGCGATCGTGAATCGCTTCATCCCCATGGTAACGAGTTCCTTTACGCGCGAGCGTGCGAGTAAGGCT